TTTTCTAACTGTTGACTGGTAAATATAAATATTCTTATTTTTTATGACAGTAAGAAGAAATAATAAATATACTGAAGTCATGTAGCTGAAGAAGCTGAAGTCATCATTTTTCAACTAGCTAAAGTCTAAGTTACAGGCTGACTTCAGGTCTGGATTATATCATTGTTACTTATAAATTATATATTTTTCTGGTATATACCTGCTGTTTTACATGGTTGTTGAATGAAATTAACATAATTATTAATTTATTGTAAAAACATGACAGATAATCTGTGAAACAGATCCAGTTCAACTAGCTAAAGTCTAAGTTACAGGCTGACTTCAGGTCTGGATTAGATCATTGTTACTTATAAATTATATATTTTTCTGGTATAAATCTGCTGTTTTACATGATTGTTGAATGAAATTAACATAATTATTAATTTATTGTAAAAACATGACAGATAATCTGTGAAACAAATCTGGTTCAGCTGCTGTTTATCTATTATTTTCTATGGTGGCTGTGAGCTGTTGCCCTGTTTGGTCTGTTTCTGCTCCTCCATGCTGTTACAGACGTTACCAGTGGACGGTATGGGCGGGGCTCAGTCTGGTGATCTATATTCAAGTCTATAGTTCTGTCTTTTTAAAAGAGGTCTTCTGAGACCAAGGTCAAAGACAAGTGGAACTGTTTATTCCACCTCTAAGTGACTACTACACTGACCAACATTTATTCACCCTTTTTCATATCATACTCATGTTTACTAAAGTGAGGTTCGTATGATGTAACAGTGAATTCTTATCTCAGGCCAAAACACTCAAAGATGAGGAACCAGCTTTACCTTTTATGGTAATTTATTACAAAAATATAGTAAGAATCAATTTCATTGAATCGTGACTAAAACAGTAAAAATAACAACATGAAAGACGAAGCAATAAGGTTTATAAAACAGTTAATATGAAATTTATTTTAGACTTGATGTTATACGTCTAGTTAAGATAAGGTCTGGATGTTAAAACCTTTATAGAATGAAAATATATTTTTCCCAAAAGAAAAAAATTTCTATCAATTAATTGACAAGAGACCCAGGTTAAAACCTATAAGTGGTTGTCAATTTAGAAACAA